TGACTGGAAATTCTACAACTAGAAGGAAAGAGAAAACCAGAAGGAAAACCAGAGGAGCTGTAAAAGCCTAAGGTACAGAGACACGGTGCACGCGTGGAGAGGATGAAGCCAGAGAGAAGGGGGAGGCTGAGTGCCTGGCTGGCGTTCCCTAGCGGGAAGAAGATAAACCTCTGGACAGCACTGAACCCCAGTTCTGGGCAAGACCCTGGAGAACCAGGCGGAAATTCAGGGGAGCAGCGAAAGGCAGTCCTGGAGGCGTGCACGTTGCAATCAGAGGACGGACTGTTGATTCTGCTGCTAGATTGTCCTAGTGGGAAGGAGACAAAAAGCTCCAGACTGTGCTGAACCCCAGTTCCAACTGCACTGAACCCCAGTTCTAGGCCAGACCCTGGGGACCCAGGCTCATGCAGATGGAGTCTGGGCTGTAAGGCGGAAACTCGGGAGCTCCTGGAGGCACTCACATTATGCGCAGAGAATGGAGTGTTGACTGTGCCACGGGATTGCCCTAGAGAGAAAGAGACAAAAGCTCCAGACTGCTCTGAACCCCACTTCAAACTGCACTGAACCCCAGTTGCGGGCTCATTGGAGGAAAGCCCGCAACTGGGAGGAGAGCCCACAACTGTTTGGTAGCGGGTGAAACTTGAGGGCACCTTTCTCTCAGAGGTGCTTGCAGTGAGTACCAAAGGACCCCGAGGAACACTGAGACTCAGGAACCTCATAGGGTGGGGCTAATCCTGATCCAAGGCTGTAGGCTCCACCCTGAATCTCTGCCCCATCCAAGCTGAGCACAGAGGCTATTACAGTTTTCCAAGTCTAGTCAAATAAGGCTGTCTCCTGGCACAGACACAGCTGATCCTCACAGCCAATTGGTCCGGAGGTCAGTTCCTCCCAGTGATACCAACAACAAACAAGGCTTAACTACAACAAGGCTGTACACACAGTCCACAAAAGGGGTGCACCAAGAGTGTCCACCTCAGGTAACTGGGAGACTGACCCACTGAACCGTATAGGACACCTTAGCACACAAAGCCACCCTACCAACTCAGGGAAACAGCAAAAATGCCAAAACAAGGAAACAGATCACAAACGAAAGAAATGGAGGACAAAAAGTGACTGGATGTAGAGTTCAAAACCACGCTTATAAGGTTTTTCAAGAATTTCCTAGCCGAAACAGGTCTGGCTCAGTGGATAGAGCGTCGGCCTGCAGACTGAGAGGTCTCAGGTTCGATTTTGGTCAAGGGCATGTACCTTGGTTGCAGGCACATCCCCAGTGGGGAGTGTGGAGAAGGCAACTGATTGATGTATCTCTCTCTCTCTCTCTCTCTCTCTCTCTCTCTCTCTCTCTCTCTCTTTTAAATATTTTTATTGATTTTTTCACAGAGAGGAAGGGAGAAGGATAGAGAGCTAGAAACATCAGTGAAGGAGAATCATTGACCAGCTGCCTCCTGCACACCCCCCACCGGGGATGTGCCCGCAACCAATGTATATGCTCTTGACTGGAATCGAACCCGGGACCTTTCAGTCTGCAGGCCAACACTCTATCCACTGAGCCAAACCTGTCTTGGCTGATGTATCTCTCTCATCGATGTTTCTGGCTCTCTATCCCTCTTCTTTCCTTTCTGTAAAAAAATCAATAAAATATCGAATATATTAAAAAAAAAAAAAAGAATTTCCTAGAAAAGGCTGATAAAATAAATGAGACCTATAGGATATGAAAAGGGATCAACTAGAAATAAGAAGGGATCAACTAGAAATAAAGAATACATTGTCTGAAATAAAAAATATTATACAGAGTCCTAAAAATATAATGGAAGATCATAAGATTCAAGTAAAAAATTTGGAACATAAAGAGCCAGAAGACACTCCTCTGTAGAAGCAAGAAGACAAGAGAATCCAGAAAGTTGATGATAATGTAAGAAACCTCTGGGACAACTTCAAGTGAACCAACATCAGAATTATGGGGGTCCCAGAAGAAGAGAGAGAGCAAAATACCGAAAGAACACTGGAAGAAATAGTGACAGAAAACTTCCCCCACCTGGTGAAAGAATTAGACTTACAAGTCCAGGAAAAGCACACAGAACCCCAAACAAAAGGAATCCAAAGAAGACCACACCAAGACACATCATAATTAAAATTCCAAGAGCAAAAGACAAAGAGAATATTAAAAGCAGCAAGAGCAAAGCAGGTAGTTAGCTATAAAGGAGCACCTATACGATTGTCAGCTGATTTCTCAACAGAAACCATGCAGGCCAGACGGGAATGGTAAGAAATATTCAAGGTGATGAATAGCAAGAACCTACAGCCCAAAATACTTTACCCAGCAAAGCTATCACTCAGAATCGAAGGCCAGATAAAGAACTTCACAAATAAAAAAAAGCTAAAGGAGTTCATCACCGCCAAACCAGAATTATATGAATTGCTGAATGGAGTTTTTTAGGAAGAGGAAGAAAATAAAGATAAAAATTATGAGCAACAAATATGTAACTCTCAACAAGTGAATCTAAAAAAACTAAGGAAATTAAAAAATCTGATGAACAATATTAACTGGTGAATATAATAGAATCAGAGGTATGGAAGGGGAGTGAACTGACGATTCTTGGGGAAAAGGGGAGAGGTGGGTGTGGGAAGAGACTGAACATAAAGTGTGCACCTATGGATGAGGACAATGGGGGGTGGGGAAAGGGCAGAGGGTGGGGTGGGAACCTGGTGGAGGGGAGCAATGGAGGGGGGGAAAATGAGGAGCATTTGTAATAATATGAACAATAAAGATTTATTAAAAAAATAAGGTTATTAAATCACAATAAATTGTTATAAAATTTATACTCTACATATTTTTACAACCTACTTTAAAAAATAACAAAACTGATTTTACCACTTGGGAATCTTAATTTTGGAAAACATTCTGATTTAATTTGTTTTTTATTTATTGTTTTATAAACTTAAACTTTTTAAAATGATTGTTTTTAAAAATATATATTTTGTTGAATTTTTACAGAGAGGAAGGAAGAGGGATAGAGAGTTTGAAACATCAATGAGAAAGAAACATCGACCAGCTGCCTCCTGCACACCCTACATTGGGATTGTGCCTGCAACCAAGGTATATGCTCTTGACTGGAATCAAACCTGGAACCCTTTAGTCCACAGGCCGACACTCTATCCACTGAGCCAAACCGGTTAGGGCTAAAATGACTTTAAATGTGTTATTAATTGAATGAGCTATAATTTATTGAAGAGTTTATCATGATTAAATTATAACTTATTGAAGTTTTATTATTATAGACAATTTTTCGTTTTAATGTCCCATGTTGATTGATGTATGTTGGAAGTTGACCACGGGGGTGAAGCTTAAAGGCTAAAACTGTTTTTCCAAAAGGTATTTGTATCTTATATTTGGTTTTATTTCCTTAGTCAATTTGAAGACAAGAACTCCCACCCCATGGTTCTTTGCTGTGACAATGGGAGGGGGTCAAAAGAAAGAATTTTATGGTTTTTCTAGTCAGGTTTCACTTCGCTATGGGAAAAGTGATTTCAACTGTGAACATGTCCCAGCTCTGACTACAGTGTCTAAAAGATGGAAGAAACATCCCACCCCTCCTACCTGTCATGATTTCTTCATGGGAGACTGCAAAACCTCACCCTGAAAAGCCCCCACAAATCTCAGATTTAACAATGACAAAGCACAATCAGCTGAAACTTCCTTATGATGACTTGCCACTTGTATTTACTCAGCGAGTCTCTCTTTCAGTTCCAAAACTCCCACAGATGAGGCCACATTTGGCAGAGTAAGACTGAAGAACAGCTTTTTTTTTTTTTTTTTTTTTTTTTTTTTTTTTTTTTTTAACAGTGTCTTTCTCAGGTTCTAGCCTTATATTGATTCCATAACTTGATTCCCCATCTAAATAAATACATAAATAGAACACATACAAGTAAGTGCCTTATAGTTATCACATATACACCAACCCTCCTGAGGATTTTCAGGGCACAAGCATCTTTGGGAATAACCTTAAGAGGATGCTCAGGGACAGCTGCTCTGCAGGAACCCTGAGTGGCTGGGAATGACCCCATTTGCTGCCCCCCGTGGCGGAAAGACCTCTATTCGCTATCTCTTCAGAGCCCTAGGGAGAAAGAAGCCTCACTGGATGAAATGAACTGTTGAGTGTGCAGGCAACGAAAACACGATTTTGTGTCAATGATGATTACATTGAATATGTCCCTGCTTCAAGTTCCCATTTCAGGCTTTGAACTTGAAAAGGTTCCTCAGTCCTCCACCACAGGTAAAGAATGAAATGTCACTCGAGTCCCATCACCTGTTCTTGTGCCTGTTCTCAGACAGGCCTAGAACCAAAGAACATGGAAATCAGAGTAGAATTTAAGGTACTCACAGTTTTCTCTGAATCTAAAGGAGAAACAGGGGCTCATTTGGATTGACATGGATGCCCAGGAAGATGTGAGAAGGTGTGGCTGGATTCCAGGTGTGTGAGAGAACAATGCACTATTGGCATGGGCAGAGGCAAGGGTCCTACAGGGGACTGGAGGTGACACAAAAACTTTCTCTACCTCTGTCTCCAAGTCTGCTGAGGACCAATGTCCATGCTCTCCCCAGACCTGCAGAAGACAGTCCTTACCTCCTGGAAGACCAATTCTTTGCCATTGTTCCAGTAAGAAGAATGTGTATCTTTTGGGTGGGTTCCATGCTATTGTATACATACTGAGTGAGAGGCATGTAAGCTGGCCTTTAGACCCACTCACACACTCACTACATCATCCTTATTTGTGCATTTTCCCTGCAACTCCTTCCTCACCCACAATTTCCTCACTGAAATTTCTACTCATCACAAACACATCCTATTCAAGGACAGGTCCAGACACACGTAGTGATTGATTCTATTTGTGATACTCCACCGCTTCTCATGCTGGAAATCTTTCTAGAAGAGGCTTAGAAACTGGAATGAATCCAGAGGGTGGGGCTTCCAGGAATTATTTATAATCTGCCGCTCACAGAGCTCACACACAACTAGACACAGTTACGAAGAGCTGCCCAGCAGAAGACGCAACAATGGCAGTGGTACAGGTGAGTAGAAATGACACAGACTTTAGTGATCCCAGGTCCCATAAAGGAAGGAAGAAAGAGTGCAAGATAGTTTAAGATGAAAATATTTGGGGCATTTAGCAGTTGTGAATGTGTGGAAGAGAGACCCTGGGCATATGATGATGGAATCCTGATGGGGAATCTTGTGTTGACCCTGGGCCAGTGTAATCCAATGCCAGCATTTGATGGTGTCTGACTGAGTGTGAACTCTGTTGAGACACTGTGACTTTGTGTGGGAAATAGACAGCTGACTGGGATGAAGGACTGTGTGTGTGGTGCAAGGGTGAGATTGTACATTTGTGTTCATGACTGGTGGAGTATCGTGTGTGTGTGTGTGTGTGTGTGTGTGTGTGTGTGTGTGTGAGAAAGAGAGAGAGAGAGAGAGAGAGAGAGAGAGAGAGAGAGAGAGAGAGAGAGAGAGAGAGAGAGTGATGCAGCTGGGGCATAGGTTGAGTAACTGTGCATGCCAGTAGGGAATGTTGGCAGGTATGTGATATGGTGAGTCCCATGTCTCAATGTGACTTTGTGTGATTCTCTCTGTGTGTGATAATTTGTGACTGTGTGTTGAAGTGTGGATGTTTGTAGCTGTGTCTGCATGTGAGTGTTCTCCCCTACATGGTAGTGACTGTTAAGTAACGGTATGTCTTTCTGTGTGTATCATTGTGGCTCCTGGTGGGCAGAATTGGAGTCTTGGGGAGTGTGGGTTTCCCAGGACTCCTCCCTGAGCACTAATGAGAGCAGAATGAGTCAGTCCTCAGATGCCTCTTCTCAAGAAACCTGGGGGAGGTGAACTCAGACTGTGGGGCAGGGGATCTCCTGTCTAGGTCAGCACATGGTGACCCCTGCTCCTGCCTCAGGTCTCCTCCCCACGCCAGTCCTTCCTTTGTCCTAACAACAACAACAACAACAACAACAACAACAACAAAATGTGACCTGGCTCTCTGGGGAAGGTGGTTGTGGGATTTGGTTTCAGGGAATGGATCACCTGAAGATGGAAGGAACAAAATAAGCCTCAGTCCAGACAAAGCTAACAGTAGATACCAATGGACAATGTGTAGGTTTCTTTCATTGTTTTCTTCAGTTACTGCCCCCGACCCTGTGTGCAGTACTGGCTGTGTCCTCAGTGACTTGTGCACGTTCCTGAAAGAACATGCATGTCCTTGAAATTCTGTTGCATATATAGCCCACACACAGGTGTCTCCTTTTCCATTCTCATTGCCCTCTCCTTTAACAAATATTTTTCATCGACGTGACTATTTATATTGTTATAGTTTTGTCTTGTCTCTACAGTTTCAGATGGAAAATGATCAGAGGGTGGTACTTCAGAAAGGGCCCTTCCCTTCTGCCAGGTCACCCCTGTTTAGACCCCATACATACCAGTGATCAGGTTAAAGGCTTTACATCTACTAGCTCATGTGTTACTGAGAGCTCCCTCTGAAGTAGGAATTTCTGATAATCCTCCTTCTACTGAGGAGACAAAGGCAAGGAGAATTCAGGTAACTGATCTATAGTCTCACTGCTAGTAAGAGGCCTAATTAGAATCCAGGAAGCCTGGTTCTTGAAAGCTTGCTTTCAATGACAATTCTCTCATTTCTTCATGGACACAGGGTCCTGACTGTGATGAGGGGGGGAGAAGGGGGCCCTCAGAGTTTGTCCTTTGATGTTTATCCTGCTTTGCCACTGGGTGTTGTAGGAGGGAGACCACACCTGGCTTTGTCCCTCTCATCCACTCTCTTCTCCCATGGCAGGTCCCATACACAAAACTTACATCCTTGAACATTGGTTCTTCAGTGACAATCAAAGGGACACCTGCCATGTCTTTCATGTGAGTACTCTGTGGCCTATGGTGGGAAAACGAAGAACTGAGGTTATTGTAGCTTTGGAGGTCACTTCATGCATGAGTGGTACTGAAATGCGTAATTAACATAATGGTAGCACAGTGCAGTTGCAGTTCCTGGAGACCCATCTGGTGCCAGGATTAAAACCTACAGGTGCATGTCTGTGGGTAAGTGTTGAAGTCTGGGGGCTGGGGTCACTCAGACATTGGAATTGGGGTCTGTCATCAAAGGACACAGCAGTATTTCCAGGGCATGAAAAGTAACCCCAGGCCAGTGACTGCTGCTCGGTGTGAGACCTGGGCTAAGAGATGAGGCATCTCTTAGGACCGGTTTGGCTCAATGGATAGAGTGTCGGCTTAGGGACTGAAGGGCCCCAGGTTTGATTCCGATCAAGGGCATGTACCTTGGTTGCGGGCATATTCCCAGTAGGAGTTGATGTTTCGAACTCTATCTCTCTCCCTTCCACTCTGTACAAAAATCAATAAAATATATTTAAAAAAAGAAAAGAAAAGAAAAAAAAGAGATGAGGCATCTCTCCAGTCTGGGCAGGACAAGCTGAAGCAGCCCACAGGGTCACGTACTGCAGTGTCACCCAGGAAGGCCTTGCTTCCCCCAGCAGGAGTTGGGAAGGGTGTGTGTGTGTGTGTGTGTGTGTGTGTGTGTGAAAAGTGGGCCCTATGAAGAAGGGTCCTGCTCCACATGCTTTGTGCTTTGCCTTCAGCATGAGCCCAGAACTGCAGGTGGATTTCCACACTGGAACTCAAGAGGACTCAGACATCGCCTTCTCTTTCCGAGTGTACTTTGGCAACTGTGTGGTGATGAACAGCCGTCAGTTTGGGGACTGGAAAGCAGAGGAGAAATACGAGGGTATGCCTTTTGTGGATGGCCAGCCATTTGAGCTGTGCATCTCGGTGCTTCAAAATGAGTACCAGGTGAGTGTACCCAGGAGCATCCACTACATGGGCTGTCAGGGCTGTCAGAGGAGCACACAGCTCTCCCTGGCCTGGCCCTCACAGTCACTTGTGGTTCATCTCCTGCCCCTCTCATCACAGAGCACCCTCTGTTTGTACTGCCATGCTCAGGTCAAGATCAGCACACATGCCTTCTTCTCCACTGTGGAAAATTTCCTCCTTCAATTGCAGCCAAGTTTTCTACCTGTGCTATCATTCTTTCAGTTTTCATGTAGGAGTTTGTTAAAATATGCATATAAATAATTATAATTAGTTTACAATTGAGTGTTTTTACATTCCTAAATCCAGTCCCTCTCTCCAGAGCAACAGTTACTAGTCCTTTTGTGCTCTTTACAGAAATACTATATGCTTGTACAACTCTATCATCTACTTATCTATCTATCTTTCAATCTCTCTATCATCTATCATCATGTATCTGTGTATGCTTTTGTTTCTTTTTAAATAAATGATGTTACAAGTATTTCTAGTAATCACACATTGAGTACTAGAGTTTATTTGTTGTAAAAAAAAATGTATGTTAGATGCTTTAGCTCTGTGATCGGCAAACTGTGGCTCGTGAGCCAAATGCAACTCCTTGGCCCCTTGAGTGTGGCTCTTCCACAAAATACCACAGCCTGGGTAAGTCCATTTTGAAGAAGTGACATTAGAAGAAGTTTAAGTTTAAAATTTGGCTCTCAAAAGAAATTTCAATTGTTGTATTGTTGATATTTGTCTTTGTTGACTTATGAGTTTGCTGACCACTGCTCTAGCTGGTTTGGTTTAGTGGATAGAGCATTGGCCTGCAGACAGAAGGGTCCTGGATTTTATTCATGTCATGGACACATATCTAGGTTGCAAGCTGCTCCCTGTACTGGCCCTGGTCATGGCTTGTGCAGGAGACAATCAATCGATGGGTTTCTCTCACATTGATATTTCTCTCTGTCTTTCCCTCTCTTTTCCACTCTCTTAAAAATTAATGGAAAAAATATCATCCGGTGAGGACTTAAAAATACATAAAAAAATAAAAAATAATAAAAAATGTATGTTAGAGAAATCATTCCGCTAGAAGCATTCTCAGAATGATTTAACTTGACCCTTATTCATGCACATTTGGGTGGTTTCCATATTTTGCTCTCATGAATGAAGCTGTATTCTATATAACATTTTTGTCATTATCAACCTCTCAATGCTTATATGAAAGAACATATTCAGAGGAATGGAAAAGCTGGTTGGAAAAGTGTGTGCAATTTTAATTTGAAAAACTAAGACCTTAAAAATTTGACTTTTTTTTATAGCCATGGTAATGAAGCATATATTTAAAAATTCTGACCTTTATAAATGGAGAAATAAAAACTAACATCTTATTATGATTGAAGCCAGCTATCTTTTCATATGCTTTAAGCTTATTTAAATAATCCTCATTTAAAATCATATGTACAATTCTACCTCTTTAGGAATATTGAAGCCCTAGTAGCCCTTTTGGCTCAGTGGATAGAGTGTCAGCCCTCAGACTACAGGATCCTGGGTTCAATTCCAGTCAAGGGCACATACTTGGCTTGCAAGTACGATATTTGGCTCTGATGTGTCTCTCTCACATTGATGTTTCTCTCTCTCTCTCTCTCCCTCCCCTTCCACGCTGTCTAAAAAGCAATGGAAATAAATATCCTCAGATGAGGATTAAAAAAAAGAAAAAGAAAGAAAGAATACAGACACTCAGGATTCATGAGACACAGTTCCTGGCCATGAGAATCTCCTAAGCTAGAAGGAAGATCTGGCCGACATAGACAATGCAACAGAAAGTGGTAGCTTTTCAGTGGAGGAATAAGAGAATCACAGAAAATAGAGTGAACAACTGTCTGAAATAGTGGCAGAATGTAGGTTATAAAAAGAAGCACATCTGCATAAACTGATTTGGCTCAGTGGATAGAGAGTCGGCCTGTGGACTGAAAGGTCCCAGGTTTGATTCCGGTCAAGGGCATGCACCTTGGTTGCGGGCACATCCCCAGGAGGGGGTGTGCAAGAGGCAGCTGATTGATGATTCTCTCTCATCGATGTTTCTAACTCTCTATCCTTCTCTCTTCCTCTCTGTAAAAAATCAATAAAATATATTTTTAAAAAAAGCACACACACACACACAAAAAAGCACATCTACTGGCTTTTGAAGTGTGATGGAGAGTTTCTGGGTGGATGGTGTGTCTATAGAGCAGAAGTAGAAAGAAAGTCGGTAAGTTTATTTGGTAGCATACTATATTTATGATACATTTTCCCTTTCAGATAAAGGTAAATGGCCGTCAGTGTTACACATTTTCCCATCGACTCCCGCCAAATAGTGTGAAGATGATCCAGGTGTGGAGAGATGTCTCCCTGACTTCCGTGGTTGTCCAGTAGAGAAGGATGTGACCAGAATTCCCATTGTCAAGGAGATCCCTCCACATAAGTGATGCTGTGATTGCCAGAGCTCGCTAACAACATGGGTTCTCACCCTTCCCCCACACTTGGTCATTAAACTCCTGAGAACTTAAAAAGATTTGCTTCGTGTTTCTGAGGGAAAAAGAGAAAAAATATTAAGTGCTCAACATTAAAAGGGGCATGAGAGTACTGAGGGAGAGGTCAAGAAATCAAAGGATAAATACTTCTCAGACACAAGGAGTGATGGACAGGGTCATGAGATGTCTGAGAAGACATTGGTGACAATATCCTTATGTAGTACTTAGGATATGTCAGACACTCTGGACACTCTAAAGCAAAATCCTTCCCCAATTTCAGACAACTAAACCAAGATATTAGATATCTGGCTCAAGCTGCAAAGCTCTAATTGGTAGTTGGGGAAGGAACTTTGTATTTGGAGAGCAATCAGGTGAGATTTCTTAAATCTTTTATTCCAAGGATGTTTAATATATATTATCACTGTGCCTGGCTCTGTGTGAGCTGCACTGGGGAAAATAAAGAAAATGACAAGGCCAGCACTTAAAAAGTTTTCATCCCAGAAGTAGTTGGAAAACCAAAAAGATTTACCTCAAAGAATCTCTTTTTTCTTGTACTCAAACAATTGCAAGATTTTTTGGAGTTATGTGGGCAGAAATCTGGGACATGTTTGGTAATGAACTGTTATGATTGTAGACCAGGGAGGATAAAATTGTTGTTAAAACAAGGAAATTTATACACATGATGCAGTGACCTGACACTGTTGTGATGGCCCACAGAATGGTTGCAGAATAACAAACCTCTCCAACATACATTGTTGTAAAACAATAACTCATTATTATGTCTCCCAGGTTTGCAGTGTCCTGCACTCATGTTGGTAGTATAGTTTGTGGCATTAATCAGATTGTAGTGGGAAGTAGAGTTTTCTGATGGGTGCTTTCCTCATGTCTCACACTTCACTTGAGTTGGATGAAAGAGCTGGGGGCTTGATGGTTGTTTCTCTTCACACAACCTTCATAGCTGTCTTAGACCTCATCAGCTCACTTAGGTTTCATGGCTGCCATAGTGATTCCTTGAAAAGGCCCAAGCAGAAGATGCAAGGTATGATAGGACCTAACTCTAGAAGCCATGCATTGCCACTCCCTTCACATCCTAGTGTTCAAAGGTGAGACAGAAAGACAGAGAGACAGCCATAATAATGTGGAGGAGACTACACTAGGGCATGGGTATGTTGACTTGTGGTTCATAGAAATCATCCTAAGAGACTAGCTACTGCTCCACCGTCAGGTCCCAGAGACATTCATACTTCCCACATATCCAAAACACAGACCACTTTCTAAGGAATTTTCAGATGTAATACAATTACAGGAATAAGCCTGGGACACAAGTCCAGCATCTCATCATCAAAACCAGGGCCTGGTGCTCATGAAGTGAACTGAGTATAAACTCCTCCTAATATGTGCACTAAAGAGACAAAATACTGCCTCATACATGGCAGACATAGATGCTGAAACAGACATAAAGATGCAACCCACAATTCTATTTTAACAGGCAGCCACAGGAGATGTATAGCAGCCACTGCTTCGCTTCATATCTGAAAACCAGCCAGGTTCATATCTACCGTTTTCTTTAGAATTGTTACTCTGCGTCAATAGCATGCACCCTCCTTTCTCAGCTTCTTTGAGTTCCTGCCTAGATGTCAGAATGACTATTTTAAGGGCTCTGATAACCAGCCTCTTAGCAAGTCTGGAGAATAATTTAAGAGACATACTTAGGAGAGATTATTCATAAAAATAGACTATGGCAGATTTAAGAAAGTCTTCTGGAAATAGCCTCTTTCTCCACAAGGACTACCTTGGGCATCAATCACATGATCTCTCACCATGTCCATTGCCACAGCTTCTTCTTCAACTCCAACCTTCTTAACTGAAATGCTTCTTTCCTTAGTCTTCCTCCAACCTAACATCCAGAAGCCTTGAAGTGGCAACATATTGCTAATGGCACTGTTCAGCCTTTCTTTTGGGTTTCATTTCACTCTGGAATAAAATTCTCCCCCCCCCCCCAAACACTACTTATACACTCTTGAGTTTTGATGAGGCACAATCTTTTCCTTTCATTTTTTCTGTCTTCATTTTGGTCCCTTCTGCATTTTGTTTATGGATCCTAGGACCTCATCATATTTTAGGGAATTAGGTAATTCTTGCACTAAGTGGATGAAAACTATCCTGGGGCCCTTGGCTTGGTCAGCAGAACATGAGTTAGATTTCATATCTACTTTCCCCTTGGCTGGTGGTCTTCTGATTGGAATAACCTAGCCAACTCTACCTGGTGGCCCTGCTAAACAAACTCAAAATAATTGCCCTGTCTTTGATGATATTGGTCAACTCAGTCCACTTCCCATGGAGTATTCCATTCAACTTTATCTTTTGTGCTCGTGGTGCCAGTAGTGATGTCTCAGATACTAAGATATGACACAGAGAGTTCTGGGATAAGTGTTCCACAAGAAATCTTTGAAGTGCTTCTGGGAATTTCTCTGATCCCATTTTTCTCAATCCTCCTCAATCCAAATCTCTCAGCAGATAAGACATATCTCAAAAATAAAAAGACATTCCTAGAACTTAAAGCCATCGCTCCCCTCCCCTCCCCTCCCCTCTCGCCTCCCCCCTCCCCCCTCCCCCCTCCGCTCCCCTCCCCCTCTCTCTCCCCTCCCCTCCCCCTCCCCTCTCCTCTACCCTCCCCTTCCCTCCCCCTCCCCTCCCCTCTCCTCTCCCCTCTCCTCCCCCCTCCTCTCCCCTCTCCCCTCCCCTCCCCTCCCCCCTCCCCTCCCCTCCCCCCTCCTCTCCCCTCTCCCCTCC